CTTTTATAGGAGTAGATTCATTCTTACTTCCCCTACCTTCCTGGGATAATGCATTCAGATGAACTGTGCCTCACTGTGCTTCTACCATACATGGCTGTACTTCCAAGTAAACCAGGCAACCTAGTACATCTATGGCCATCTGTAAAATTTAACTGGTGCTTATGGCAAATGGTCCTATATAAATTACAGTTCCATACAACCACAGAACTAACAAGTAATTTCAATGCAGAATCTGTGTTCCAAGCACTCATAATTTATGCGATCAGAATGGTTTCCCTGTATTCAAATTAGAGCAGAAAGAAAGGGTTTGGCTTGCAGTAAAATACCACTGCCACCATAAAATCATAGTCTACTGGTAGCTGCCAGATCTAAATAATAGTTGTTCAAATGCTGGATTACAGCAGTATCAAGCTGCCAGTTTACACTCTTGTCAAAAGCAGTTATTGCAAAGCTCACTGAACTGATGCCTAAATAGTATTAATTTATATTCTAAAATATTTGTCTTACTTCAAGTCCTTCACAGAAGGACTACTGTGTTTTCTTCAACCATATTCTTTTTTAAACATTCACAAGACAAAGTATCCTGAAGCCTCTAGGCTGTCTCAGGAAATACATGTCCTGCAGTATCCTGATCAATTTTCTCCCAGTTATGACTTCCCCTCTGCTCTGTATTCTTTCATTTATCCTGGTGTATGTAGCATTCCTTGCAGAACTGCAAGGGGAGCTGGCAGGGATCCAGGACAACCTGTCAGCACAAGCAGCAGTGAGGTGATGAGTCAGCAGAGGCACTGTGTGTCTTTGAGCTCTGCTGCAGCACCACTCACTCCAAACCCTCCCAGAGACAAGTCTTGGCTTTGACCTTGAAAAGTGTCCACAGCTCCTGCTCATCCTTATTTTGATGAAAGGGAGGATGTGTCCTTCAGTGAACCTGAAAATGTGCAGCTGCCCTACAGAAGCTAATAACCCAAGGAACAAGAAGCTCTGTGTGATCTGAGGATTATGTGAGGCTTAACCTGAGAACAAGGCTGGCAGTTTTGTAAAGCAATTCAGTAAGAACCATCATATAAACTGCAGTGTTAAAACTATTTTAAAATAGAATAATTTCACTGCATTTGTGCCATGCTGAATTCACTACACCCCCAAAGTGATAGCTGTACACAGAAAAATCCAGCAGCTGCTACATACACTGTGATTACCTAGAATAAGACAAAATTATCTAGGATTCAGAAATAAGATGTTCACATTGAAAGGACATCAATGTGCCCACTTGTATATTAAGGTATTTTGGACTCCATTCTTTATACTGCGTTTTTAATAAAAAGAATTTAAATGGCTCCCTCTTGTGTCAAGAGAAATGCAGTATCATTTTGGCAAAAATCTAGTCACTTGAGGAGAAATTAGATTTTATCTATATTTATACTGCATAGTCTAGTTTATCAGTATGCTGTGGTGACTGAGGAGACTGAACACATGTATCCCTTGCTGTTCAGGTACTCTGGAACTACCTAAAATAAGTACCATAAACAGTTTCCTTTCAGCTGCACATGATGAAGGGTAGGGAAAAATAGGTTGTGAACCTTATGTATAGCATTCCATCTAATTTGCTAATGCAGTCTAGACTAGATAGAGATCTTGCCTTGGAGATCCCGGTCCTTAAGGATCTTTAACAGCTCAGCACAGAATATCTGGATCAGTGTAGCTTAATTTACTTGTGGTGTTTTTAACAGGTGAGCAAATCTTCACCTTGTAAGGGGTGGGAGGAAAGCAATGAACTCTGATGGAAAGCTCTGAGCATGACAGAGTCAGTGAATGGCTGTGAGGAAGGAAAAAACTGATTTCAACAATTCTGCAAGTCTCCTTTCCTTCTTTCTAGTACCTCCTAGCTGATAAAATTTATTGTTCTGGCTTTTGAATCATGAAAGCTTTTTCCACAATAATTAATACATATAGAACTCTGAAACTGAAAACTGAGAGGGTTGATTTTTGGGGGTTTTTTTTTGCATATCATGGAGCATACTTTGGTAACTTTGGATATTAAGCAATAAACTTGGAAATTAACATGAAAGAGGAAAAATACTTATAGGACACTGAAGTCTTGCTAACCTCAAGAGGCAAATAAAATGTATCAGGAAATATGTGTGTGTATACACAGGAAGTATCTACAATAGCTTTTGAGAAGGCAGGTCTGAAAAGCTTTGTTTCAAGGAAACATGCTTCACTTCTGTAGTTTCTCACAAAATTTTTTCCTGTTATTATAAATTAACAAAACAAAAACAATCTAAACAAAAAGAAACTCCCACTTCAGAGTGGGAAGAACCATACTGATGACTGGAGAGCTTGATAAAGATACTGTGCAGATAACTATCTTGAGATAATCTCAGTTTATCCTGATTCAGAAGTCTGGCGCTACATGCACAGGAGGCTATGTTTTCTAGCTTGAAAGGGAGGCTTTAAAATACTGTATTATGAGTTCTGCTGTAGCCATTTATCCTTTGTAAAAAGTCTTCCCTGCTATAGCCTTACAGGTTGTTACCAGAATGAAGGAAAATATGACTACCAATATCAAATTATATATTCTTTTCAAATCTAGGACTTCATGTCCTCCTCCAAAAATTTGTTCTTACTTCTCATGCAGAAGGAGTTACCACTTGTTCACAGAGAAAAAAAATTACTATGGTGGACAGAATGATCATTCAGTATCTTAGCATTTCTTGTCTGAAGGCCTCTACAGTGGCATCCCACAATCTATTTCCACGTTTCAGAGAAGAACTGCTGAGGGTAGACTTAACGGAGGAGAAACTGAAAGGGTTTATTGAATCTAAAGCGTGTACTTTGGTTCCAAACTGCTGTTTGGAAAAGATCTCATCAGCTGCCACCTGGGACTAGATACATCTAAACCAAAAAATATTCTTTTTATCTATCCAGCCATGCAAAGTTACTTTTCTGAACACAACCACCATCACAATCTTAATGGAACTGAGCTACCTGCCTCATATTCCAAGGCTGAAAAGACAGGATGAGGTAACTGAGCATTTCATTACCTATTTCTTTTGAGGTACTCATTCCAAAATTGTTTGGAAGATACTTATAAAAAGACTAAGTTGCACTATATACATACACACATAAAAGTATTTTAAAAATCACATTTTATCTTAAGTATGGCCAAACACTGGTACTCTTAACCAATAATCTAGTGGCTGGGGTACCTGCCTGGAAAGTGTAAGAGACCAGGATTCTCAGGTGGAGAACATTTCACATCCTCCTCCCTGGATTATGCACTTTTTTCTTTCATGGGTGAGTTCCAAACTGTGGGCTGCTCTAGAAGAGAGGTGCTCTTGGAGTGTCTAATAGTTTGTGTGGAGAAAAGAATAAAAAAATTTGATTGATCAGTAAAGCTCATGAGCTGTATATTTATTGGTAAAATCACTCCAAGTTAGGCTTTAGACACCTAGCACTAGCATTAAGTCAGTATAGGAGTATTTTTCTAGTCAGTTTGCATTCTTTCCAGTATAAGTGTGTCTTGTGAGGTATTGGCATATCTAAAATGGGGGCCACTACAATTTATTTGATGCTTACTTCTGTTTCAATACTGTAATGAAAAATATTGTAGGAGGCAAAAGTCAATCTCTTTAAAGGTGGAAAACTTTGAAAAGCTGCTGTTTTCTTCTTGACTCAAAGTAAAGGTAGATGCTTTCATGCTGACCTTATTTACTTGTTTTTCCTTTGGGGGACATTTCCTCTAGCCTCCACTAAGGAGGAGGTTTTGTATAGTAGAAATTATGAGTGAGACTCATAATTCAATTATAGAAAGCATTTCCCAAAGAAACCTCGGGCTAGTACTCTTGACACTTTTCAGAAAGAAAATTAGGTTTGTGGTTTCTTAGTAAGCTTTTGTGTCTCGTTTCTGCTTAACCTCAGGCAATGAAATGCAAATCGTTAAACAAGGTTTGGATGTGAAATTTAATATTCCTTCCTTGTGTATGCAGGATTTTGGTAAGCAAACAGGTATGCTGATTTAGACAATAATTTTTCCATCTGAGAAAGGAGACTTTGATGCAGACTTTGTTCTGCATCTCCATCATACCAAACCTTGCTGGTTGATGTACAGGCAGTACCATCAGTCAGGATCAAGTTTCAAGTTTCCCGTGACTTGTGTGTAACTCTTAAAAGTGAATGCTGCAATCTGACTTAACATCATCGAGCTTTTGTGTGAGTCATATAGCTGTCAGGTGGCTGAAACGCACTGCAGCATATTCCTAGACCTAAGCTAACAATCTATACCACAGCAAGTATTTACAGCCTTCACAGACTGCAGGATAAAAAGATCTCATGGTATTTATTTATGCCATAGGTGCATCTTTATTTCTGGTAGGCACTGTGAGTTCACCAACTCCTGCAGCTTAACCACATACAATTTCTTTAAATAAACCCACTGCGATCTCACTCACTGAACCAAAAAAAAGTGAAGGTTTATAAATAAGCAGCTTCCCACTGCCGCCTCCGGTGCCGCTGGTTTTGCAGGCCCTCTCCTATGCAAAGCACTCGAGCAGTGCAAGCGGATGTTGCATAATGTGATTATGGGCTGCTCTAAAGTGAGGAACGCGTCCCACTTGTGGCATGTTACACACGGCCGCCTCGGTTCTTTCATTGAACAGAAGCTGTGATGCTGCTTTTATATTCCTGGCAGCTGTCAACTGCTAAAGCAGAAGATTAGGGGATTGGCCCTTTTTTTTTTTTTTTTTCTCATTTGTACTGAAAACCTGTAATGCTTCCTCCCTCTTATGCCTTTATCTCTGAAGGAGATAATTACATTTCAGGTCATCTCCTCCTCTATGTGATCCCAATACACCACCCTAACTCATATTATAGGAATTTGCACGTACACGTAAGCAGGATTTTTTAAAAAATTAGCCTAGAAAGCGTATCTACACGGTGTATCTACCGCTGAGGGAACATGGCGGTGACTTCCCGACTTGTCTCCAGCACCAGCCACACTCGCCATGCGGGGTGAACCGCACTGCTTGTCGTCCCCCGTCGCTGCCCCCTGGCTCGCCGCTGTGGCGGAGGCGCCACAGCCGGGGGTGCCGGCGGCCCCCGCCCCTCAGCGCCCCTCACGCCCCCGGCTCCAGAGCAGGTGGGGCGGGGGCGGCGGGACGCGGCCGGGGCGGCGGGCACTCGCCTCCGAGGGCCGCGGGCCTGCGCGGGTGCCCGGTGCTGTGTGTCGGCCCTCTGTTTCCTTGCCCCTCGTTGTGGTTTGCTCGGTGGCTTTGGGGACAGTCACAGGGCCCCGCGTTCTACCCGCTCCTCCGCCGGCCGTCCCGCGGGGCCGCCGCGCTCGAGGTGCGCTGGGCCCAGCGGCCGCCGCATCATCCCGGCGGGACCGCGCTGGGAACGGGGACACGCGCCGCGACCCGGCTTTCCTGGCAGCGGCCCTGCTTCAGGGATGCTCTCTTAAGAACAAGAAAGAAAGCTTGTTGCTTGTTTATCTATTTATTTTATTTTTTATATTCTTCCAAATGAGGGAGTAGCGTTTCCTACGAATTCATGGAGATTTAGGTGGGAATGGGGTGGTTGAGGCTGCTGCCCCAGTAGAGTGTGTCTCTATGGATCATTTCCTAGCTTGCTTCACCTCACGTAACATAATTTTTAAAAGCAACTCCACTTCTAAGCTGCTTCTAAAATGCTGCACCGAAAACTGCAGTAGTTGTGATATTGAATAGCGCAGTAGTTAAAATAGTAGAGACCAGAGAATTTTTGCTGTATTAATTTGGCAAAATAGTCCTACTTTCAGCTGTCTGAAAAACACATAAACATATTGCATGCTGTCCGCAGTGTGCTTGGAAATGGTCATTTTAGAACAATGTAGAATTCGATTAAACTTTAGGATTGCTTTCTGCTTTGCTTAATTAACTAACAGAAGTGCTTCTGTTGACTATATTGACCCATTAATATCAAAGTAGCAGTTTGCTACTGCAGACGTGTTTAGTACATTTGTCAGACTGCACTTTTAATGGGTTCTGTCCAAAACGGGTGTTCTAGGCTGTATATATATGCTGCTTTAACTAACAAACATGTCCTAATGGATCTTATCCTTGTTCCTCTATGAGTATAAAAGCTTTGTAGACTCTTTTGGTGGAGCTGAGAGAAAGCAGCTAAATTAACTCTGTTTGGTTTTTTTTTTAATCTATAGAGTGAAAAAAATGGAGCTGTCAAGAAGAGAAGATCAAACCAGGCAGATGTTCCTGATAGTCTTTGCCAAGAAGCAGAAACATGCTATCGGCTTAGACTGCCTGAGGACTTCTACCAGTTTTGGAAGTTTTGTGAGGAACTAGATCCTGAGAAACCAAGTGGTGAGGTTTTAAATTTTGCTTCTTCTAACTTTTACTCCTGAAAGCAGGCCAGCTAGAGTTGGTCAGATGCATTTTAATGAAGCTTCAGCTTTTCACTTGAGATGGAGGATATTTGCATGAGTGTAAACTAAAACACTGGCTATAATCGCCAAGATGTACACTTCAAGCTTTCTAAAATGTAACTGCTGAAGTTGTGCAATATAAAGGAAGTAAATGTGGTCTAAATCTGCTTTCCTCGCAGGTGCATTTAAAATGTTTAGTGAGGAACCCAAGTTTCCTCACCTGTCATGGCTTAATCCCAGTCACCAACTAAGCACCACACAGGCACTTGTTCACTCCCCCTTGGTGAGAGAGAATTGAAAGGGCGAAAGTGAGAAAACATGGGGGTTGAGCTGAAGAGTTTAATAGGGAAAGCAAAAGCCACAAGCAACGCAAAACAAGGAATTAATTCACCACCTCCTATGTGCAAGCAGGTGTTCAGCCATCTCCAAGAATGCAGGTCTTGTTGAGCATGATGCCATATGTTGTGGAATATCCCTTTGGTCAGCTGGGATCATCTGTCCCAGCTGCATCCCTTCTCAGCTTCTTGTGCACCCACAGCCTCCTCGCTGGTGGGATGAGAAGTTGAAAAGACTTTAACTCAGTGTAAGCACTACTAAATCTGGATTTCAACCTCTTCAAGTTTATTATGTAACAGAATGTGGCATCCCTGTGTGCTCTAGAAATGACTGTGTCTTTTAGAGTCAGAATGGTTTGGGTTGGAAGGGATCTTTCAAGGTGGTCTAGTCGAACCCCCTACACTGAGCAGGGACATCTTCAACAGAGCTAGGTTGCTCAGAGGTGGGTCCAGCCCAGCCTTAAATGTTTCTAGGTCATCCACTGTGTCTCTGGGTACCCAATGTTTTACCACCTGTATCATAACGCTTTTTTTTTTTCTTGTATTTAGTCTGAATCTACCCTGTTTTAGTTAAGAACCGTTATCTCTTGTCCTCTTGCTACAGGCCCTGCTAAAATGTTTGTGCTTATCTTCAATACCTAAAGTACTGAAAGGCTGCAGTAAAGTCCCTGGAGCCTTTTGTTCTCCAGACTGAACACTCCCAGCCCTCTCAGCCCATCTTTATAGGAGAGGTGCTCTTGGCCTCTGAGCATCTTCATGACCCTGTTCTGGACCCACTCCAGCAGATACATGACTTTGCTGTGCTGACAACCCTGCGCCTGGATGCAGCACTGCAGGTGGGGTCTGAGCAGAGCAGAGGGGAGAATCCCCTCCCTGGCCATGCTGCCTTGGATGCAGCCTAGGACACGTTTGGCGTTCTGGGCTGGGAGTGCTCATGGGCGAGTCATGTCCAGCCTCTCAGCCACCAACACCCCCAAGTCCTTCTGGGCAGGGCTGCTCTCCATCTGTTCATCCCCAGCCTGTGCTGATACCAGGGTTTGCCCTGACCCAGGTGCAGAGCTTTCCAAGACCACTTGCTCTTGTTAAACCGGAAGAGATTCCTACGGGCCCAATACTTGAGCTTGTCCACGTCCTTTGGGATGGCATCCCATCCTTCAGGAGCATCTGCACCCCTCAGCTTGGTGTCACCTGCAGATTTGCTGAGGTTTGCTGATCCAGTCTTATGTAATTGATAAAGATGAATATTGAACAATATTGGTCCCAGTACAGAGCCCTGAGGGACACTGTCATCACTGATCTCCATCCTGACATTGGACTGGGCTGGATGGCTTCTTTTTATTAAAGTGTAATAATAGCTCTTCAAAAAAACTTATCTGGACAAAACAATTCTTAGCTTTCCTTGTCTAGTGAATAGTGTTCGACTGAATTTATGGAAACTTGATACCTGAGCAACACCGGAACTTCCTGGTCTAGACGTGCACCTGATTCGTGGTTTTCTTTTCAGATGCACTTGTGTCAAGTGTTGGACTTAAACTGGTTGGACCATATGATATTCTTGCTGGAAAACACAAAAAAGCAAAAGCAACAGATGTGAACTTCAATCTTCATTGGAGATTCTTCTATGATCCTCCAGAATTTCAGACTATACTTGTTGGGGATAGCAGAACACAATATCACATGGGATATTTCAGGTATTTTGTTTCCTGTGTGCTCTTGCTCCTCTACAACTATGTGTAGCTTTTGTCCTCTTTTTCCATGAAACATAACTTGTGTGCTATCACCAAGCAAGAATCTTTCTTTTTTTGTAGTAGGACATTAACACGTGGCTTTATCATTTTATTAAAGAAGTTTGCAGGAACAGGAGTTGAAGACTAGATCTAAATATTTATTAATCTACCTCCTCCAGCCATCCAGAGCACCTTCACTCACTAATCTTTAACTTTTGCCATGATACTGAGAAGAAAATCAATTTACCAAAAGGAAATGTGTATTCTCTCTGCATGCATGGATGCAAGCTCTTTTCAAGGCTTGCTGTAAGATTTTAGAGCTTTAGATCTAAGAGCATTTCTTAGTGGAGTTCTGAAGGAGATGGCAGCATAGTGAGGAGGCAAATTTAGTTTTACTTTGAAATAGGACATAGCTTGACTATTTTGTGTGTACTTTTTCATCAATAGGGATGTGCCAGATGAGCTCCCAGTGTGGGTTGGTGCAAATGAAGCGAAGAAGGGTTGTGTGATTTCACAAGTCGGTGATAATGTCTTTGCTGCAGTCAAGTAAGGTTTATCTTTACTTTTATTTACAAAGAACAGAATAGAGAGAAATTGTTAATTGGGAGGTGGGATGTGGAATAATGAAGCTAGCTTATTATATGTCTTTCTTAAGAAACCCTCAGTTACTTTCTGTCCCTGTTGTCAAGTTTTAAGATTCTCTCAGAAGCCTTTGTAGGCTTTTTAACAGTGTTTTCCTTTCAGAACTAAAATAAATAAGTGTTAACTACATCATTCCTTAAATATATTGGCAGTGACAGGCTCTAAATTGGAAAAAATATGCACTGGATACGTTAAAATAATTTTGTAAGTAGAGAAAGGCCATCTCAAACAGTGGCGAAGGAAATCTGAGTATCATAGTATATTAGTAGCATCTGGCTCTTGTTCTTGTCTACATAAAGATAAATTTTTTTTATATATAATTAATATCTACAAGAAGTACCATTTCTGCCCTGTGGCAAGATAACACTGATGTGGATATGTAGTTCAGTCTGATTCATGGAACTTTACATGTTCCTGCGTCAGGAATGTAAACAACTGACCTCATCCCTGCCAGTTAAAAATGGAAAGCTCTCTAAGGACAGACACACGTCAGTCAGTGAAAGCAGACTGAAGAATGGCTTCTGCAAAAGAGCCCTTGTGCACTGCAGGGTTAAACAAGGACATTTGTTTTGAAAGTACCATGGGGAAGCTCATAAATATGTATTTGTGTGCATGACTTGGATGACAAATGGTGTATATGGCACGGGAACAGCAAACTGAATTCTTAAGATAGAAAGATGAACAGTTACTGAGGCCGGGAGATCTTTAAGCACCTGCAGATTGCATAAGCTAGATTGTAGTGCAGGTAGAGATAAGAAAAGCCCAAGTACTAGATGTGCCAAACTATTTTCTTGCCTCCTCTTAAGAGGCTTGCATTTTCAAGTCTCTATATAAAGAAACACAGGACTGCTAATCTTTGTTGTTAAGATCTAGAGGTTTAACATTTAAAAGGCTATTAATTTTTTTTTTTTTTTTGTTTTCTTGACATGTTTCATCTGTTTGCAGATTATTTTTGTCAAAAAAACTTAAGGAAGTGGCTGATAAAAAGAAAAATGCTATTTTGAAAGACATAGATGAAAAGCTAACAAGAACAGCAAAAGAACTGGGTTATTCTCTGGAACAGAAAACGCTGAAGATGAAACAGAGAGATAAGAAAGTATGGCTTTCCTCATCTACTGGAGAGAACTAAGTTCTGTTAAATTTTTTTCATTTACTTCCTGTTTGTGTTTTTCCATTCTTTTAGTCAGTAAGGATACTACATTAGGAATTTCCAAAGGTAATCAGCTCTCTATAAAACTTCAAGAGGGAAGATTACTACAAGTGTGTTCCAAATAATAGGATTTAATAAAAACACTCTACTCTTGTAAATCATAGCTTGGCATTCAATTAAAAACTAAACAAGAACAAACCACCACCAAAAAAAACCTCAGTAAGCACAGTAGTCTAAAAACTGGAACAAATAGACACCATGGAGAAAACTTTAAATGGAATATTGTTCTAAATAGTGGGCTTGGATCTGTTAGAAACAGGACCATGAAGGATGATATGGATGATAATAGAGATTTTTTGCTTACCTATTAAAAATAATTATGGTAGGAGGGGACTAAAAAAATACGGTACAATGTAACACAAGTGACTACAAGGGTTCCTAGAATTCAGAATTTCCCTGAAATGGCATTTCCAGTTATTTCAAACTTCCAGTACTTGAAATTAATTGCAATATAATTTGAAACTTAAGTTGATGTCCTGGAGACAGGACACCATGTTAGGTTTCAGCACCAGCAGTCAGGTGTTAGTGTTTAATGAGGTGAGGTTTTTTTAGGTCACAGTACTGTCTTAGGGTGCTATGTTCCGTTTTCTGTCTCTATTCAGGTGGTGACCAAAGCATTTCATGGAGCAGGCCTAGTTGTTCCTGTAGACAAAAATGATGTTGGATACAGAGAACTTCCTGAAACAAATGGTAAACATCCTGTTTACTATATCCCTCTGCTTTTTTGAAGTAAACACCCCTCAGTAAAAAACAAACTGCATTAATGTTTTCTACTTTAAAAATTTGACTGAGGGGAGTAAAATGTAAAAGTCCTAACCATCACACTTGACCTCAAAGTATTGTCATTAAAGGAACCAGATGAGACTCAGTGAAACATGCTAAATCTGAGAAGAGAATGCCTGAAGAAGTAGTTGAGATGATCTTTTCTTTTGTATTGTCAAAGCCATGCAGGAAGTAGAGCAAAAAGCTGATCTACATTCAGGGATGTGTGGGTTTATTTCTTATCCACCCTCTTCTTCCAGTGTCATTTTAACCAGAATCAGTGTCTTGATGAAACTTCAGCACACAAGTGCTTGCCTCCCTTTGTGAGGAGCTGAGAGGGATGGGCATGGGGCAAGAATGAGCTTCCAAGGAAAGGGGGAAGCTTCACCAGCAGTTCAGGGTGTGCCCACTTACATGATGTGTAAGTGTGGCACATGGGTATAGTTTTGCCACAGAATACTTCTGTGCAATATTAAATTTCTTTATTTAAGCATCTAAATATCTGCTTTTGGTTTTTTTGCAGCTAATCTTAAAAAAATTTGCAAGGCCATTGTTGATGCACCGACTGATGAGGAGAGAGTGAAGGCCTTTGCACCCATTCAAGAAATGCTGACTTTTGTTCAGTTTGCTAATGATGAATGTGATTATGGAATGGGGTACGAGCTGGGCATGGACCTATTTTGCTATGGATCACACGTGAGTACTACAACAATCAAACTTCATGAAATCATGCATTATTTTATACATGGGCTAGAAGTTGTTCTGCTGCAGATTAATTATCCCTAGGAATTGTAGAGGTCTACGAGAATATTCTTAATTCATGAAGACTTAAAAAGCCACACAACATCATTCAATATTGAATTTAAAATTGTGTGTATGAAGGCCCAATCCTGCAATCCAGAAGCAGAGTGTGAAATACCAGATTCAAATACACTGAATAGCTGGATTCTCCTGTTCCCAGCTACTTGTATAGGCACCCATATTCAACCAGACCAAGAAACAGCCTGATGCTTGTAGTGACCCCAGCTGGAAGAATGAGAAGCCCGGTGAGCTGCCTGTCAGTAAGGGGATTGATTTTCATGTGCTGTTAATTCATACTTAATGCTTTTTGTTCTGTATTAGCTACTGGTCTGCTGATGAAATGGGTCATGGCTGTAATTGGTCAGTGGCTAGAAAATAACACATGAAGTTTCAGCATCGACCTCATATGAATGGATCATCATAGAAACACCCCAGAAAACAGCTGCTTCTAGCAAAACTAGTATTGGCTAAGTGGTGATCCAGACTATCATGGGAAAGATAAGTTTTTCGATACGAAATGTAGGCCCAAAAGAGCTGTGCTGATTACTGGTTAAAATAGTTAGCCATTGAAATGTATGAAAACTGACTGCTCTTGCCATTCACTGTTAAATTACTAATGTGTTTCTTAGATTTCATGCCCTCCTCTCTTTAAGTTCCGTGCAGTATCTGAAAATGTGCTTATTTAGAAACCTTCTTTCAGAGACTAGGCTGATTCAGCTGCTTAAAACTTTTCTACAACTGGAAGGGCAGTGAAGGAAACAGTTACTCCCATTTTTCTGAGTAGGTGGAAGCAAATACTCATCTTCCAAGCTTTGTGCTTCTCAGCACATGAGACTAACCACTGACAAAGTCCTGCAGTGAAAAACTGTGTTTACAGTACTGTCATGTGTCTTGTCTGTTTTATACTGCAGCTTGTAACACCTGTAACTTTGCAGCTGTTTTCTAGCATTAGAAACCTTCATCTTCTAGTTTAGTAAATGGAAGAAGCAGTGGCTGCACACATGTTTTGCTCAGTTAGGTCCCTGCCTGTCTTGGAGCTCCTGCTTGGAGCCGTTTTCCAGTTCTGACTGGAGCATTCCTGTCCCTTTGCTTACAGAGCCAGAGAAACACTGACACTTTATCTGTAGCCCAAGACGTAGAGAACTTGCATCATCCCCTTTGTTTGAGAGATACAATGGACTTACATGTACAGTAATGATTGTAAATGCTAAATATGCTCTGATGTTTATACATTTGAAGTTCTTAAATGGTTACTGTAAGTACCACTGTAATCCACTCAAACTGTGGGGTGGGACAAGACATGGGACTGTGACAGGACCGGGGACTTCACCTGCAGGCTCCAGCTTGGGATGCGGTAGTGAGTGGGATCATCGTTTCTTGCACTGCCAACACTCGATTTCTCTCCCTGCGGCAGCTCGGGCACCCTGTCTGCCCTTGCTGTGGCTGTCACAGGTGCAGCATGAGGATGTGCTCAGGCGTTTTGGGAGGGGTTGAAGGGCGCAGCGTGAATGGGGCAGGGCCAGGAGGTGGGGCCGCTCCCGGAATTAACAAAGCCACTGAGGCCGAGAGTGGCTCTTGTTTTCGCTTCTCTCCTGCAGTACTTCCACAAGACGGTGGGCCAGCTGCTGCCTCTGGCGTACACCCTGCTGAAGAGGAACCTCTTTGCCGAAATCATCGAGCAGCACCTGGGCAGCCGGCGGGAGGAGGGCCTGGATCGGCTGGCGCCCTGAGCCGGGAACGGGGGCTGCGGCTGGGGGCGGCCCTGCGCGCCCGGACCGGCCTTGTCTGTGTGTCTGTGGGTCTTTTTGTACTCGGTGGCGGTGTCCCCTCGGTCAGTAAAGGTTTTCTAAGGAACGCGCTGCTTCCCGCTGCTGGCTGCGCACGGCGGGCCCGGGACGGGGAGCGGGGCTGAGGAGCTGCGGGGCGGAGCTGCGCACGGGCGGGGCTGTGGGGCCGACACGGCGGCCTGCCCTGCCCCGCAGGCCCCGGCAGCCGGAGCCGGCCGGGGCTGCTGCGCCAGGGCAGCACGGCGAGCGGGGGCCGCTGCACAGCGCCGCTCCGAGCTCCTGCGGGCATCGCAGGGAGCCGCTGGGGCTCCGTCACCACCCGCCCTGTGCCATATGCAAACCGATCCCTACGTCCCTGCTCCACGTGATGGTTCTGCCCTTCTCCATTTCTCCACTTGTGTCCTACCGCTCAGGTAAAGCGTTCCCTTACTGCAGCATTCCCTTCTGTGACAAAGCACTATCCCTGTTCCTGCACTGCTGGAGCTGGTTCAGGTGGGAGGAAACTGATGGGATGAAGGAAATGCTAACTGACATTACAAGAGAAATTAGGAATTCCACTGCAGTTGCTACCTTGCTAATAAGAAGAAGCCATCTCCAGTTTTAAATATTTTAAAATTAAACCCAAGTGATTTTGTACAAGGCGCAAATTAATTGCTTTCAAGGTCCTTAGTCCCCACTTCTGTGTTTCTGTTACTGCACTTGGAGGTTTATTCTCTGACTATTAAAGCAACAAAAACAATGGAAAATAACATTGGCTCTTACTCAACAGCCCTGCCACCATCCAGTGACTTGACTTCCACTGTAGCAATTCACATTAGTACTAATGACAGCAATACTAATTACTACTGAAAGATTATAGGCCAGTAGCACCATGCTAAAATGTAAGCAATTCCTACTCTTTTAAGCAAAGGATTGTCAGTTACATGTTACTTCATGGTAGAAGGGAGCAGTGGAGGTACAATGTAGGTTAGAGTGCTGCAAAAGTACTGTGAGTTTCAAATGCACAGGGTACTCGCATGCCACAGCTGCTAGTGCAGATTTGACAACTTTACCCCTTTCATTCACCATATTAATGTCCCAGTTACTCAAGCACGGATGAACACACACTCATTCATAGGCCTAGAGGTTTTTTGCACGTAAAAACCAGGTTTTTTCCATCTCATTTCTATCTCCTTTTTGTTTCAAGTACAGGAGACCTTAATATCACACTGTACAGGCCCTGTAAATCACACAAGTACTAAAACAGTAGAATCATGGAAAGGTTTGAGTTGGAGGGGACCTTAAAAATTCAGCTTTTTAACTGTTACTTAAATATTAACTTAGATCTGCAAAAATGAGGACCTGAGACTGGACATCCATATTCATGTATTAACCCCTGATGGAGGAAATCTGTTAGAGCAGCTGCAGCATGACTGATGTGCTGTGTATGAATAAACTGAGACGGACTTTTTAGCTGGGCCTGCTACGCTAGGACAAGGGGTAATGGTTTTAACTAAAAAAGAGTAGATTCAGACTAGATAGGGGGAAGACTTTTATTATGAGTGGTGAAATATTGAAATGGGTTGCCCAGAAGGGTGGTACCTGTCCCTCCAAGTGTTTAATGGGTGGGGCTCTGAGCAACCAGTCTCATGGAAGGTGTCCCTGTCCATGACAGGAGGGTTGGAATGAGGTGATCTTTAGGCTCCCATCCAAGCCAAGTCATTCTATGACGTGTACATCATCAACAGATGGTTTTCAGCCAATAAAAGGATCATCCATTTTTAAGTATTTTAAATCAAAAGGATTTTGTTTAAATTCTGTAATTAAAACAGAATCTTAAGTGTTTATTCTGGAAAAATACCCCACCTAAGGCAGATCAGTTTGATGGGGTACATTTGGCTACTAATTTTTATCCAAATGCTAGACAATGCAAATACTGCATCTCATAAACTCCATTCTTTTTGTCAAATCTTCTTACTAGTTTTGTATGTGAAATTCCCAGCTGTTAATTTTCTCTTAGGGAAAATAAATGCAAAAATCAACACAAATCTTGTTTGTGAAAACAATAAGAAAACATGACAGAACAATAAATGGTCATACAGAAGTTTTTAATGCTTGATTAAATCATCACAGTAATAACAATTTTTACTGTAATGATATGCAGTTCTACCACACTATTATAAATAAAAACATTAAGATCAATATTAAATACAGCTCTAGGCAACATCACAGATTAACAAAGAATGCATTCTTCATGAACCAGTATCTGAATGATTTAAAAAATAAAAAAATGCTGACACTTTCCCCCTCCCATCCACCACCTTTTTTTTGTTTTTAAATTAGTAATTTGAGTAAGGCGCTGCAAATTTCACATTAGAAATTTTTTGTTGCACAGCACAGGCACACATACTTCATTAACAGAACCTCTACTGCATGTTTACCAGAAGACATTTTAAATGTCAACAGGGAAAGCTTAGCAGGCTAAGAGTAAACAGAGATGCACAATTTACGTGCAGCTCTCGGGATCCACACAGAAATGAAACACAGCGGGAGTGTGAACTGTATTTTAATTCAGACAGCAGTCTCTAGAATTAGGTGCAAGTTAATACAGTACACACAGCAGTGTTTTACAATAACGCCAGACATGGCAGAGATTTCAAACTGATTTAAAATGATTTTTGTATGTGTGGTGAGTTTGTATTCTTCCACTGTAGAAAAGAAAATCAGAGAACAGAAATCAGTGTCAGAGACAACTTCCAGAGCTGCCTTCTGTAAATGGGCCTAATCCTGCTCTTTGTGAAGCTTCCTCTTCTTCAAGCTTATGTAATCTAACAGAACAAATTTTTAACAACTAGCACTGACTTCACATGGAAGAGTACAGCTGGTTGTTGCCATGCTCCCATTTTTACATAGCCCAATTCCCTGTTTCATTTCCAAACCTGTTTTTAATACAGGGCCTGATCACTGTGATCCCCCTGGCCCATTTCACTTTCTACTGGTTCCAGTTGCTACTGGAACTGAGATGACAAAATGTAGATGGCAGTTTTTTTCTAAGAAAAATAAGTTCAAATTCAACAATGCACTTACTTCTGCACAGCCATTTTTGTGCAGCTCAGCTAAAGTGCCAGAATTTTGGTTCATTGTGTTACTCTACTTAACATAAAATCATACTAACTACTTCGTGAATAAAGATGTTTGAGGTAACTGTGATGAATGCCTTAGAGATATTTAAGATTATTATGTTAGACTTTTAGTGTTTATGTTCTTGCCATTTTTGCAGTCTTGTGAGCATAATTGTTAAAAGAAAGAAATTCTATCCAACCTCATATTACAAAACATTATTTTTGTCAGCCAGATTTAGTTTTTTTTCCTTCCTAATTTAGGCTTATAGCATATTGTCATTTTTCCTCTGCATGCAGTTCTGGTGGTGGTCTGGTAAAATGAATAGGAAACAAAACAAAGTACTGTAAAGAAGTTAGGGGTCTATGAGTTCTCCAAGTGTGTGTGTGTTGCTGCTGAATTTTAAAGTCCTGCCAAAGTTTCAAGTACTGGATTCAATTCTGCCCTGCTGCTCAGGTTTGACTACATATAATTTACACCTTTATATACTTGGGAGAAAAGAAGAGTCAAAAGCAATCTAATAGTTGCTTTCTCCTATTACTTTTGAAACCCTACAGGTTTGGTTTTTTTTAAATAAAACCCTACTATTACTGTTCCAGTTATCTGTTAGTAAAGAAAGAAGGAAATCCAAGGTAACGGCAGTGAAAGTTACATTTGAAAATGATCTTGTATGTATGTTGGATCATAAAGAAGCCATTTTCTTGAAAACCTTCATCTAGCTGTAAACATTTGCTAATCCTCCGTTACTTGCAGAGGATTATGAATTATTCTATAAAATCACATTAAAAAGGTAATTAGTTATGTGAGATATTAACTGATTCATATTTAATAGATTTTTTTTAATCCATACAAATATAAATAAAGAATGGTAAAACTTCAAGAAAAATAATATACATTTAGTGCAAATTATGAGTTACATTTCTTCCTACCATGTCAGCAGTGGAACATCTTTTGTGGAGAAGAAAAAATAAAAATGACCATTCGCGAATTTTACAGGGGGGGAAAAGATCTCCAGTGTTGAAGCATGCATTTTTTTACCAGATACACGTATACAGAATTGTTCCAGCTCTTAAACTAGTAGAATAGCAGTATTTTTCCTTATACTGCACAACATTGGTATATATCATAGTGTGTTCAATAATACAAAAATTGCATAAGACCAGGTCACATTATTGATATTTTCTGCAGCAAAACCAGTATCTTTCTTTAAAATACTAGTTTCACCTGGTTTTAGTTTTCTCATATCATGACAGCACATGGGTTGAAAGAAGTCTCATGTGGTTCTTGAAAAGTATTACCTGTTCAATCTGGTTTTGTTGCAGTGGATCTGCACTGCCCCAAGCATTTAGTGATGTACGAACTTACACATTGAATGGCACAAGAAAAACCTCCCTTCTTGTGATCACACCTCAGTAACTCACAGTACATCTCAATATGAGAAACAACTGCTTCAAAAGGGCACACCAATTTTAAAGAGGCTTTGTTACGGCTCAGGAGAGAGAGAAATAAAGCTCTTCTGGAATGTAGAAAGGTGACGAGTAATAGTTAATACGTTTCATGAGTTAACACAACAGTTTTCAATGGTAAAAAGGGCAAGACCTTTCAGTCTCCACAAGATGGCTCAATTCAGAATGATCCCTCCAGAAACAGGGATTAATAACACATCTCTTCAATGCTGAAGTACCAGGCTGGGCTGGAGAATGGCACCACTTTGCACGGCTCACCCACTGCACTATCATGGCAGACCTGATGTCTCGGGACGCATCCAGTGCAGGACAGCAGCTCTCCCTTCCCACACTCCCATCAGCCTTCCTCCTCGCCACATGCTCCCCCAGACTGACTCCTGATTGCCAGCAGCACTGTTACGTAAAAACCCAGCTCGTCTCTGATTTTAGAATTTTTCCCCAGACTAAAGTGTTGTGCTATTCAACAAATGAACCTCCTCTTCCGTTTCCTCTCTCTCCTCAG